GTTTATTAATAATATATATATATATATATATATATATATATATATATATATAAAACATATAGTATATAAATATCATATAACATATTATATTGTATATGGGATTGCCTACAAAGAGACCATTACCTTATGTACAAAGAGGTCGCAATCATTCTTGTCCCTTAGATTTAAGAATAGATGGTTATAAGAGTGTTATTTATTAGACACAAAGTTCAAAAAAAAGTTTTTGGACTTCGTGACTCACTCCCAATCAGATGGGCGGCCTGATTGATGGATGAGGTCATATATTTTACATAATAAATATCTATTAAAAATAATAAAATTGTATTAATAAAATAAATATAAATATATAATTCATATGATAAAATATAATATAAATTATATATAATATATACTATTATATATTTATATTACACTATATTATATACATTTTATAATATATTATATGTTTACATTTATATTTATATAATATGTATAATATATTTATGTATTATACTATAACATTTTATATTTCCTCTAATGTTATATACTATAGTAGATTATAACAATGTATATTCTATAGTATGATATAAAATAATGTATCATTTATATAAAATATCATTGATATATTACATATTAATTATTATTGTAATATAATTTATATATTAAGTATATAATTTATATGCAAATAAAATCCTACGATCAACTCGAACAATCAATTCAATGGTACTAGTTGAGGGACTGGCTTGCAGAGAGTTCTCTATCCGGTTGGGACTGAAATCTTTCTATAATATATGGAAAATTGTTTCATGCGGGGCTGGACCGCATTTCTACCTATGCGGTCCTGAAATGTAAAGCGTCAATCTTAGAGATGGATGCAAGTACATGTTCCATCTAAAAACAATGGAAACTAACCATTTCAATATTTTCTTAATAAAATTATTATTTCTAGGTTTTAAATTTTGTTTATTTTTCATTCTCATGTTAGAGATTACATGTTCTTAAAAATTAAGTCCAAAAATCCATCCCAAAAAAATATTTTTAAGAGGCCCTGCATTTCTACATGTGCAGGCTTGGCGCACATTCTAACCACATCCATAATATATTATATTGTAAATAGTGAATAGTGAATGGTGAATAATAGATCCACATGTGAAAACAAATACACAAGGAATGTTTCATACCCCAAAAGGCGTGGTTTTATTTTACAATGAATTAGACCATGGTAAAAGTTTTTACCATGGTATTTTACTTATATACATTTGCACAAACCAAACGTATGAAACACGATTTACGTATGTAAATATAGCTCGTGGAATATTAACCAAACGTACTCAAATAGAATCTTTGGAATGTAAGATATCTATACATAAGGATACAATGGAAAGGAATGAGAAAAAAAAACAAGGAT